CCATTAATTCTCTATTTCTTGCAATATGTATCAGATATTGTATGTCGTTAATCCCTGTCCATTGCCTTATGTTTCGGAGCCAGGACATTTTCTTGCATCCCATTCCTCTCTTGCCCATATTTGTGATTTTCGCTGTCCATGGTATTTTTAGGATACGGCGATAAAGCCACATTTCGAAAGCTTTCAATCTGTTTATATCCCTCGTTTTGAGTGTCCAGCCCTTTACGCCATATAGCAGCACTGACCATACGTAGCACTTAGTAAACCTTAGTCTCAATTGAAGATCGAACTCAGAACAAGTCAGTACCTTCTTGAATTTTACGAAAGCTTGTCGAGCTTGCTCAATGCGACATTTTACTTCCCTGTCTGATGCCCAGTCTTCAAAAAGCCACAATCCCAGGTATTTAAATTTAATCACTCTTTCTATGGATTTACTATTCAGTGTTATGGTGGAGTTTTCAAGTGCATCCAAGTTTCTGGAGATGATCATGAATTTGGTCTTTTTGGTATTAATCTCTAGTCCCATTCGCTCACTGTATTCTCCGATTATAGTGACAAGTTGTTGAAGATCGACTATGTTGTCACAAATTAAGACACCATCATCAGCATATCGTATGTTGTTGATCAATACTCCATTCACCTTGATTCCCATCTCTGCATCCTTCAAAGACTCTTGAAATATGGCTTCCGAATAAATGTTAAATAAAAGAGGGGAAAGCACACATCCCTGTCGAACGCCTCTTCTTATATGTATGGGCTTGGATATAGAATTGAAAATGTATTCATATTACAACATTTAAATGATGCAGCCCTAGATACCTTCAACTACTGCAACCTTCCGGTTGAGGGAGACTAAGTTCGGGATGTCTCCTTTTGAAACTACGAAGGCAATCAAGTCCAGCAGACTTCATTTCTGAGGCGTATAAATTTTGTTATACAGAAATAGGTCTTTCGTAGACTTTCCGTAACACATTGTGCTTCGTACTGTACATTGTATTACGTAGTATTTAAGTAATATTTTTTGTTCGTCATTTAAGACCCTTGGAGTATGATAGTGTACTTTATACAATAATACGTCGTTTGGAGCTTCTTTAGCTTTCTTCACGTAATGTTTGATGCTATCTGTTGTATGCTATTCTGAAGCCAAAGTTATTGTTCAATAAATCATCTACAACACTTTTCATAGCCTCTGTGCTAAACAATCCTTTGTTATATTTTCATTTTTGACCGCGAGACATATGTAACAAAAAATCATAATTGCAGATTATGTTACAACATTGTGCCCAAAACTTTTGTCTCAAGGAGGCTCATAATACATTATAAACAAAGTAATTAATATTTTAAAGTATTGTGTAAAAATAAAACAGACAATCACAGCAAAAGATAATAGAAGGTCTCATTGATCAATTAAAAAATAATATTTTAAAAATATCATATCTGTTATCAACTCACTGTTACTCAAAAAAGTATATAGTATAAAAACTTACCTCTTTTAAAAGCAAAAAAAACACGTAAAAAATTTTTCGGGATATACACTAACAAAGAGTTAAGAATAACGTAACGGAAAAAACTCGAATAGTCAGCTTTAAGAGGGGAGTTTGGAATGAAACTGGCAGGTATATCCTCATATGTCCAATGTCCAACTTAAAATGGTAGACCTGTATGGCGGAGAAGAGTGTTTTATAATGGAAGAAATATTTGCCTAAAAAGACTATCCAACTATCTGTAAAAAGTATATTATAAATATACGCAAAAAAAAGAAAATATACAAAAGTAGCTTATAAAGCAAACAAAAGATATTTTCTTATTCCCATCATTCGACTTCTAATATTAATCATTTAAAACTATAATGATCGAAAAAGAAACCTTTGTTTATACGAAAATTATAAATTTTTAATACATAACTAAAGTATTTAAAACACTTTTCTCTAAATATTGCATCCGACTCTTGAGTCATTCAATTTAAGAGCAATAAGCGAAGACATCAACGCACTGTAACGTAATTGCTTCTTAGATGAAGCGTCACTTCGAATTTTAATGTAATTCTAAAGTATTTATTGTTTAGGAAATCCTTTTTTCGTTGAAAGTTACTTAGGCTTTCCTAAAAATCTGCCGAAATTTAATTTTGACAGGTTTTGCGCTATTGTGATTTTGATTTTTATTAAATTACGGTAAGTGGTTTCAGCAAGTAAGTCCATGATAAGCTGTTTTTCGTTTTATAATTATTTAGGTTAAATAATAATTAGATATCAAATAAAGACTATGGATTAAGAATTACATAATTTTAAGCAAAACAACGGTGGACAAATAACAACGCAAGTCATAATTTTTAAATTATAAAACTACACTTTTGATTAGAAACAAATTGCTGTTTCAGTTTATTTTGGGTGCGTAAAATATTCTTTCAGTAAACCTTCCAATAGCGACCACCCATTGAATCAAAAGCTGGTCGCTAAAAAGTGACAAGCAGTGGTCGTTTAAGAGAGAATACAGGAAAATGAAAAAAATATGTACATTTTACGTTCTTTATTTACATATTAAATATATTTTATTTAATTGTCATTTAAAATTATCCAAAACACAAATGACGGCGATTAAGAATGGGTTGCATATTTTTTTTGGAAATAGTGTATAGTAAACTTTTTATTTAAAAAATAAAAATTTTTAATTGCTTCACTTTTTAATTTATTAAAAAAATCAGATTTAAATTTTATTAAAAGCTTACAAATGTTATTTGTAGATATGTCAAAATTCTTCAGATAGGCTTGATATATTCGACACTCGAAAAACTTAACCCTCCGTTAGTCGCTAGGAAAAACTGAGCATCAAGAGTCGCTACGGTGTCTGAGACCGACAATTAAAAAAAATTGTTTTTAATATAAAATTCATACAAATATTTTATATTGTGTATAGGAATAACTAAAAAATATTTTTGAAAATATTTTATTGAAAAAAAAAACAGATACAAAATGAAAAACACTAGTATAACAATATATTGTGAATATTGTTCTGAAGCTATTTTCTTGTGGCATTTTAAAGTAATTACTGTTTAAATGGGAATAAGCCACAATTAAAGGTTAAAGTAAGTTTATTGATGTTTTAATTTTCACATCGGATATCGTTCTCAAAATACAAACATTAGTTTGTATTACGTACTATATAATTTTCTTGTCTTGTTCTAACATTTTACGGTGGAATAGCCTTTTTTCATCTAGTAACGCTATATTTTCCAATAAACGCTAAGGTATTACTTCCACTTTCTTTTTTCTCATCTGTCACATCTTGTTCCGATTCATTTCCACCATCACCACCTCAATTTGATCTATTTCGCTTTCACTTTCCTCATCGTCAAAATAATTTTCATCGTCGGTAGGAATCATGTCCATAATTCCAACAAGCGTTGGAATCAAAGTTGTTTGGCTTCAAAGGACATCTATAAATAAGAATTGACAAAAACTTACCGATAAAATGTAATAATAAGATGATAAATATTTACCTGTTCTGCAAGTTCTGCAACAAATAATAGCTACACCGTTAGTCGCTACGGACTCTGGCACCGAAAATAACTATAAAACTCACACAACTGTACCCAGGAATGTAAGAATGTACACTAACACGAGTTTGGTTGATAGGGAGAGGTACAGAAAGTGGCGATAGAAAAATAACAGTTATTTGTAAATCCCGAATGAATAATTCTGTCGTCGGTGTGTGAGACCGATAGCGACTAACGGAGGGTTAAAGTTCTTCTCACTCAGGTTTAGAGTCAGGGATAGTATAATGTTTTTCTTGTATATTATCTCTATTTTTTGTATACAGTCTTTGATGGTCAATTCTCCACTTTCTGTTGGCGCCTCACTATCAATCAACGTAAATTATTCTAAATCCACTATTATTATGTCTTTGATGGTGAGACATAGTTGTACAAGTGAAATATTATTCTCTTTTTTAAAACCTTTTGCAGTTATATTACATATAAATCCGGCTTTACCAAATAACTTTTTTATTTGTCATCGGCAACCACTGTTATGGTAATGTTTTTCTCTAAATCTTGAAGATGACAAGAACTATCTATACAAGTTTAAATCCTCTTAATAAAATTACTATTTTATATCATTTTAAAATTCATAATATTGGTAGGAAGAATAAAAAATAAAATTTTAGCATTATCAAGTGAAATCTTGGAGTGAGATGTAGCATTATTCAGAAATTATACCACTTTTTTTTCTGCTTTTTCATCTTCATCATTTTCGTGTCAAATTTGTGGAGTCATATCGTCATCATGTCTGCTGTTATCCATGGTTTTTTTTTGGAGACTAATTTAAGGGGTAACTTATCAATGTGTGCTCCTTTAAAACATCGCGAATTTTAGCTTTTACTCATGGCCGCCGCTAAGGTATTGGTCGCCCGTGTGCAAATTAAAATTTGCCGCTCCCTTTCAAAACTTTAGACACATACATACTATTATGTGACATTTGGACTAATCTCCATGATCCAATGTCTATATATTATCCTAATGTATATCCTAATATCCTAATATCCCATCCTACTATACTAATTTAAACGTCACTAATTTCTATTCACGGTGAATAGAAACATAAACAAATAAAAAAACTAAAAACGCACTTTTCGGGCTTCAGTCTCGGGAAACTTTTTAACAATATCTTTAATTCCACGAGGAAACTAAGTTCCTGTAGCTGGCTGTATACCATATATCACAAAAAATTGTTTAAAATCCTTTATAAAAGGTATATTTTTATATACCTTTTATAAAGGATTTTAAACAATTTTTTAATATCTTTAATGTCCAATGTCGCACACACTTCATGTTCTATGGATAACATTGCTAAATCAGAAAGTCTATCTTGCTTCATTGAAGATCGCAAATAGTTTTAAATAATTTTAAGTTTTGAAAACGACCGCTCACCCGTAGCTACAGTAACAGGTAGAGTTAGGATTATACGTACTATTATAGTTCTTCATATTGATCGGTTGCACTAATGTCAGTCTCTGAGCTGTTTATGTCTGTAGGCTTGATTCACTTTCTTACAATTGGTTTTAAGTTCATCATCGTTTTTAACTTTGTTTATGCCATATATTACACTAAAAATGTCTGTGTGCTGTTGAAGTAATTGGAACCGTTCTTCAATTGCTGTTATGGCAGCATCCAAAATCTTAAAATAAAAATTTATTTTAAATGACAATTCCGGAGATAATATAGGTTCATCAGCTCCTTCATACTCAAAATGCACTTTTCTTCTTCTAATTCGTTCGGTAGAGGAGCTAGGGAAATCTTCTTCTATGTTAGCTTTTGTAGATATCTCTCTGGATTCGGTTACAAAATTTTGAAAATGTTCATCAGAACGTTTGGTTATGAAATATTTTTTTAAATTATCAAGTGCATCAAGTGAAGATTTTATGTCAAATTTTGGACTTTGAAGGATTTTGCTAACCACGTTTATTTTACTTAAAATATCTTGCCACACTACAACAGAACACATGAATTTGAATTTCCAAATTTTATTTTTAAGGGATTTTGCTAAAGTCCTAGTATTCATATCCTTTTGTTTATCATTTTGCAATTCTTCTAAAACATCATATATTTCACTAATCTGGGTTGTTAATGGTGCTATTGCATCGATCCACTCTCCATCGCGTGTCCGACAGTGCTTTTAATGTCAACTTTGGAAGGTGCTTTAATAAAATGTTCCATCTAATATTGGAAAAAAAAATACGTATAGTTCCTGTACAGTATTAAAATTATATTCCACTGACTCAAAACTAATTTTTATTGTATCATTTGCCACCAGAGATAAACTATGCGCAGAACAGGGAATAAAAAAAGCTGGAGGATATTTGTCCAAGATTTTCGTCTGCAATCCAATGTGTTTACCACGAATATTGGCTCCATTATCATAATCCTGTCTACGAAAATTAATAATTATTTAATTCATTCAGTTTAATTTCTATAAATTCAAACAGACATTTTCCAGTTGCATCAGTTACAGGAGAAAAGCCCAAGAAGTATTCAAATATTTGAACTGGTGTTGAAGTTGACAGACATCTTGTTGTTTACAAGAAATAATTGTTGTTTGTTTTACGTACGTTATATCTGGAGTACAATCTAATATGATAGAAAAATTTAGATTCTCGAATTTGTTTTAGGATAACGTCCTGAACAGAATTTGCCAATAAAACAATCAATTCATTTGGATGTTACCATCCTAAATAATGTGGTATATTTGTACTCTTGGATTCCACACGACGAAAATGCTCTGATAATACAGCGTCAATTTCCATTATTTGGTTCAAATAACTTATTGAATGATCCTCTAAAAGCTAAACATTGTTTAGATAAAAATTTTACAAATAATAATAATCTTTCAACCACGAGCGATGAATTTGGTTTTGATTAGGTAATGTGTGATAATAATAAAGTTTCTAAAAATTTCCGATTATTTGTATCTCTGGGGAAGTTAATTTTTGTAATTTGCTGAGGAAAATTTTCAACACAACTTGAACTTCACTTGGATTCATATTTGCAGGCCATTTTCAGGGATCATCTGTTTCCAAATATGCTGGAACTTCCTACACTGCAATCGAGATTAACTGGAACATTAATTGTTCTGTCTTGGTTGGTGGTTTCAGGTTCAAGCGTTTCAGCATCAGCACTCGCACTATCGCTATTATTGTCATCAAATCCTCCGTCTCTATCTGTAGGAATATTTAATTGTTTAATACTTTTTTCTATGGTTTGGACTTTGCTTGAAGTTCCTAAATTTGAAGACCTAAGTTGAAGGTCCTAAATTTATATCCGAGTCTTCTATATTTTCATGTATGCTTTTCATCAAAAATGATTCCAGTGCACCGCTTATTTTTTTTTCTCCTCAGTTTTTGCCTCTTTTATTTTTTATATTAAAAGCCTGAAAGTCGTTTTCTTTTTCTTTCGGACATTTTGAAATTATCACTTTAGAACGAAGCCGGGCGAATTGAACAAAATAAATCCAAAAACACTTCAAAGAAGTTGTCCAAATAATGTTTCTCCAATTAATATGTAGCTGTAACGCGTATACGAATAAAATTGCTCCTATCTCGACGTTACTTCGAAATACAGTACCTACTGTGTAAAAGAAACGGGTACACTACTATATTTTACAAACAAAATCGTTTATCAAAAGCGTGTCTAAATTCATCGAATTTTCAACTAAGACTGAACATAAGACATAATAACCGATCTATAAACATAACCATAGGAACAATATTATAACAGAAACTTTACAACAACTTGCCTAAATTCTTGTAAAGTATCTACTTGTGAAATCCCAAATAACTGAAGTCCGAAAGCCGCCAGCCGCTTTGAATTAGAAAAGTATTCCCCAAACTTCTTTATGACTGTACCTGCAAAAGGACGGCAGTTCATACAATAAAAAATATTTTCTGACATTTTTTTTAGATTAGGATGAAAAAAGAAGTATACATTATAAATGAAACGCATTTGAGTATTATCACGTACTGAATAATTATTATTGTTTGGAATATTAGAGTTCACAGAATTATCTGTATCATTACTATTTAATTATTTGAACTTATTTTCGTTTTAAACAAGTATTATCATCAGTAGACTGCTTTTGGCCGCCCCTATTGTTGGCCGCCCGTGTGCGATGCACACTTGGCACACATGGTAGTGGTGGCCCTGATTTTACCTATGATAAGTGGTTACTTCTTTCTCCTACCGTATTTGCGCAAAACAAAATTGTAATTAATTTTTTTGCAGTTTTTCGTCAAAGACACTTGTCATTTTTCAACGTGTATATTCTTGTTGGTAACGCGTAATAATAGACTGTCTCGTCTGTATTAAACACATCCTTTGGGGCATAACCCTTAAAATAGCAAATATCTCCTTTACAAGATTTCATGCTGTCGACATTAACATCAGCGGATTCGTCATATATTGTCTTGAAAAGTAACTGCCTTTAAGGGCTTTGGCTTGAATTATAGACCAGATATTGGCATATTTATGTTGAGTAGGGGATGCTCTCTGGATATTTGTGGCACCAATACCAAGAGGATAGTGGATAAAGCTGCGATGATAGAAAAACTGAAATACACCCGTTACCATGGTAAAAAAAAATTTATGTTTAGGGTCGCTGTCTGGGGATCGCCAGGGCACATTTAGTGTTGTCCTTGGTCTTGGTCTTGCATTTTCGCAAGACCAAGACCAAAACCAAGACCGTCTAATTTTAGCAAGACCAAAACCAAGACTAGCCGTGCAAGATTTAAGCAAGAATAAGACTAGGCCTGCAAGACGAAAGAGTCTTGCAGTTAGGACTGAGTGTCGTTTTAGCGAGTATAGTAATTCCGGTATATGCTTAGACACTCTATAAGACGAAAAAAAAATTTGTAACAAAAATTTGGACAACAGGACTTATATGCGCATTACTAACAATACCACAAATCTACATACCGAATCAAAATATTCATTAAAATAACACTTAACTCGTTTGACACATGCTTAATTGACACAGGTCATAATTACGTTGTAAAAATAAAATATTTTGTACATTCCTTCCCAGCATACGACTTCTTCGCTCTAAAATTAATTGTCCAGATTTTGAGAATAGCCGCCCTCTAATTATAAAATAATCTTCTTGCATTGCGACGCCGACAGTAATATCGTATCGAAACTTTTTAAAAATATATTACCTTAGCCGATAAAAAATATAATACTTACTGTTAAGGACACCCACTTAATTCAATTTTTTTCCTACTATAATTTATTTAGGATAAATCTAAATAAACAAATCTTTCTAAAACGCCGTCTACACTCTCGATCGAAGTTCTTTAGACGAAGTGTCGCAGTGAAGTTAATCGAGGCGAGGTGAATCTCTACATACTCGTGAAGTCGAGTAATGTAGTGTCACGGAATAATAAATAATCAGAATGCCCGCTCTCCTGTCAAGATAAGTACGCGCATCTCGTTCACACAGACCGAATAAGCAATGTTTTATACGGAACCAGTCCTGCTCAGTGACATTTTATCTGGTGTGCATAACAAAATTAACCTGATTTAATTTATTTACAGCAATGATAGATCCAATATAAACTATTTCTCATCAGAAAATACGACTCAGAACGAAAGTAGAACGAGGCGAAGCAAGGTCGCATAAAATACATATCTACACTCTTGTACTCACTGCACTTACATCAACTTCGTGAGTAATATAGTGGCCGCTTTGGACTAAACATCGTTTCTGTTGAGTGTGCGATGAGATCATTCAGTTATACACAATTTGCTGAAAGAGCGCGGCTAATATAAAAAAGTAACACGACATATAATTAATAACAGATAATGTCGGCTATCGTGTAAACAAAATACCGAAATATTTAGAGTAAGGTAAGAGTAACGAAGTAACTATATATAATTCTCGGTTTGTTATTCGGTACTTAGGGTATTAGATAGTAATAAACATAAAGTAACTAGTAGTTTATTTTTCGACATCACTAAACTTCATTCCCAATTAAGCTTTCCTTCGAGTCTCATGTAATACTCGTAATTGTTTTTCATCTAATCTTGTTGTTCCCGGGGTGATAAGTGTACAATTTAACATGAGAGATGAAGACTCGAATAGTTTAAGTCGGAGTAATGAGAGTTTGAGTTATAGATCTAGAAGACCTAAAAGCAAATTTGATGAGTTTTTCAAAATAATTCATGCATTCCAAATTGCTTTGTGTAAATTGTGCCAACATAGAAACGTTGAAATAAAAAATGAAAGACAGAAACACATTAGGTTTAAGGAAGCATCTAATATCTTTCCACAAAAATGAATCACAAATATTTTATCCTGAAAAACCAAAATTCGGTAGACATATCACAAGCTTTTTACTAACCGCTGTCAAAGCGGACATAAGGTAAAATATACTTATTACACAATTACATAATATATTACGTACCTACTACTTTATTTTTGTAAATTAATGTATTTATTAAGTAGGTATCTCCTTAATTTAAAATAACTTCTTTTGATCAAGTTAGTTTTTTATGTAAAAGTAGAGCTAAGATTTAATAAGTGGATTATAGTTTAATATCTTTTTACTTAAGCATCTGTGCCCTTGATACATGTATGTCGATATTTTACACATACCAATTTTTTTAAGATTTCCATTTCATATGTGGTGGGGTCCATCAATCTCTTTAATAGACAGATAATGTTCTTTAAAATACAGTCAAGTTTATGTCATTAACTTGTTTTTGTTTTGTATTTTAACCATGTTTTAGCACATGTAAGCTTATTAAATGCAAAGGTATATTAAGAAACATATTGACTCCCATAGAGCTTGGTAGATAGCGGAGTTAGTTAAAGCATAGACTATAGCATCATAGGCTAATTGATAACTGCAAGACTTGCAAGACTTTTGCTGCAAAACCAAGACGGGAGCGCAATACCAATACCAAGACCAAGACCAAGACCAGGTGTATTGTCACAAGACCAAGAGCAAGTGTGCTCAGAAGGCTCGCCTGCTTGTGTACTGATTTTAGTGAATTTAAGATTGATTTAGCTCCAGACGTATAGACGAAACATCCATAGTCGAGCTTGGAGCGGATTAGTGAATCTGTAAACTTTCAGTAACGTAAATTCTTCTGCTCTCCGATGATAATGTGAGAGTGTTTTGATTATATTTAACCTTTTTAGGCAAATTTCTTTAAGTTCCTGTATGTGTTGTTTCCAGGTTAATCTTGAGCCAAATATCAGCCCTAATATTTTGTAATTAACAACAACCGGTAATTTGAAGCTGTTGATAGTAATTTCAGGATTAAAAGAACCCATTCTTCTGCTAAATTTAATCACTTCGGATTTGGAGTGCGAGAGGGCAAGTCCTAGAAAAGGTACTTTGTTTTTTAGGTCATTTACTCATAATTGTAAAATTTACTAATAGTTTCGTTAGATTTACCATGTTACTGGATTGGATTGGTTGGATTACTTAACTTGCTAATCGAAAGAATAAATAAGGATTTGCTTAAAACTGAAACTTGAGGAACTTCATCATGTCGGATGTGTGGAGAAGAAAGAAAGTTATTGATAGAAACCCTGAACGATCTAAATGTTAGAAAGTTTTTGATAAATGGGTGTATGTTGCCAGTAAGGTTACATTCAGAAAGTTTGTCAAGGATTGGGTTTATAGAGATGATATCAAATGCGCCTTCTATATCAAAGATAGTTGCTCTTTGGTAGCTGGATTGTTCCTTTGAAATAATTTTGTGTTTTTTCAAATACCATAAAAAGCGTTTGTTAATAATTTTCCATTAGCATACACATGCTGTATGTGAAGGGAATGGGCCTGTAAAACTGGGATCTATTATATTTAGATGAAATCAGATGATTTCTGTATGAATCTAAGTCATGATGAGATGAAATATTATTAGTTTTATTTCTGTTGGTGACCTTAAATTTGCCGTATGTTTTTCCAAAGTTGGCTAGGATTGGTGTTTTCGTTTTCGTTTCGTTACTTAATCTTGCCAGGATGATTTTTTACTTTTTTCAACTACGTGTTTGGCTTTGGCTTTAATTTTTTTGTAGTTTATTAGATTTTCAAGGTTTCTCTTTTTTTTGGTACTTATTTAAAGCTCTTTTGGATACCCGAATCGCCTCTTGTGAGTCTTAGCAGCTGAAAGAATGTTATAGGGTAATGATTGCTATCAAAGAAATAGTCAGTTGTTTGCCAGATTAAAAAGGGTGCAGATTTAGAGTCACTAATACTACAATCTATGGCAGAAAAAGATATAGATAGATAGAATAAGCAGAAAAGTTTGTGCAGTAAATAATATTTTCTTCTCTTCTTCAAGGAGCTTTTCTTCTTTTAGAGGATGGTTTGGTGGAATATATATGGAGCAGATGGTAAGTTTATTAGGACAATATGTATTTATGGCAATTGCCTCAAGATTCGCTATTGTAGCATTGTTGAGAAGATTTCGCTGAACGCAAATATTGATGCACCTCTAATGCAGTTCGTCGCAATGAAGATTTAGGATGGGAAATATTAACTGTACTAAAATTAGTCTCTTGGAGACATAGAAAATCTGGATGATAAATTGATATAAGATATTTTATGTGTTCAAGTCGCGGATAGTATCCGTCGCAGTTCCATTGTAAAATAGTAAATTAAAAAAAAACGAGAGCTTAAGGAAAGTCAAAGAAGATAATGCAGAAACTCTAACTATTGACCAAAAATGGGGAAAAATTCAACATGCCCTTGTGTCAGATGGAAAAGAAACCCTCAAACCACTTAAAGAAAAAACAAAACCTTGGATGACAGTAGAAATTGTTGAACTCATGGAAGAACGAAGAAAACATAAAGCAAAAGACCTGAATAAATACAAAGAAATTCAGAGAAACATCAGAAAGAAAATTCGAGAGGCAAAAGAGAGGTGGCTCTCCGATAGATGCA